GCCCAAGTTTCTCTTAAAAAAACAACTACTTCCACTTTGACATGTGACCTGAAATGTGCGGGGGGGTGTTAGTATATGTTTAATTTTTGTTCAATGTCAGATACATATACAGAAACGGACCTAGCTTTCTGTCTGCACTCTGTCATCATCTGTCATAGGGTGTTAAAATGGTGTAGGTGGCCTGGTAACTTTGTTTATACATCCTATGTTTGCTTAAACCATTAACGTGTCTCCATGGCAACACATAGTCCTTTCCTTAACAGATATTTGCAAAGTCGTGAGGCAGGTTATGAGAGGTTTTCTCAGTCTGTATTGCTGCTTCAGTTCATTAGCTATTGAAAAAATACAGTTTCCACCATTTTTTAAGTAGAGGTCTACACTTGGATCATGTCCTATTTTTAACTATCTGCACTGAAATGTTGCCGTTTAACCTGAACTTGACTTTGTTTTTGGCCTCTGGGAAATGATTGCTGATTTCTTATAGCATTTTTTGACATTTAAAATAAATAAATTTAAACACCTAGTCACTGACTGGAATAAATAGCAGGTTAATCTTAAAATAAATGATTATCTGAAGTCCTACTCTCAAGACTCAAGTCATTTCCAAAGACTGACATCAGAGCACTAAAACAACTTTGCTCCAGTATTTTTACCTCATCACTTCCCTTCATTAATCCCCTTCTTTTTTTTACACACATCTAATTCTGCATTCTTTCCATCTTCCTCTTGCTTTCAATTTATCCTCTAACCTTCGTCATCCCCTCTTCCTAATACCACCTTTGCCTGTTCACCCTCCCTCTGTTCTCTGTCTTCCCCTCGTCCTCCTCCTCATGCCTTCCCTCGTCCTCCTCCTTTTTGCTGTCCTCTTCAGCCGTCTGGCTAAACTTAGAAGTGACAACAGTTGCAGGGTGACACCAAAGGCTAAATAAGACCAGAACAATAGCTCCCCCCTCCTCCTCCTCTCACCCCCTCATCTCCCCCTTTAATAGACTGCCATTGTTCTCTCCCTCCACTGTTGCTCTTTCAGGGAGTTTGTTAGCTATGCTAATGAAGGCTGGGCTTGTGTGGGTTTAGTGAGTGGGGATTTGATGCTCTTTAACTGGGCATTTTTAAAAAGGAGAAGCCATCATAAGGGTGGACCGGGCAGCTATTTACCACCAGTCAAATGTCACAGGCGCGATGCAGCAGCACTTTCTTCCATTTAATGTCTTGCACATTGAAACTGTCACAACCAGCAAAAAAAGAAGAAATCCTGCAAGACAATGTGCCAGTGGTCCTCAAATGCATCACGTAATATATACTGTATGTGTCAGCATGTCAGAGTCCTTGTAGAAAAAAATAGTTGAGTAAGACAAGATGTGGAGACTACAGTGGAGCAGTCAGTCATCCAATCAGTCAGTAAGTCTGTAAATAGCCTGGCCGATGGCTCCTTTGAGCTTTCCTCTAAGAGGAATTCTCTTTCTCCTTGGTGTATTAATAGTGCCTGTGCATTGTTTCCTACAGCAGCACTACTGCAATCAAAGGAAGTTGGCCTGCCAAGTATACAAATATTTTCCTTTGTCCCTATGTTTAGCAGTCATGTAAGAGTCAGATGTGTGTGCATGGAGGTGGGTGCATGTCTGTGTGTCTCAACAAACAAGTATGTGCATACTCGTGGGCATTATGTCAGGTTGTATGTTTATTTATATGTGTAATCTAATATGTACAGTGATGCGTCCTTTAATTGTTTGTGTGTGAGTGGGTCTGAAAGCCACTCATGAACAGCGTGACCCTGTATCTGAGAGGTCATGTGCTTGGCTGGTTGTTGGTGTGTTGGTATGCTGTCTGATGAAATACATGCTAATCTACTTCACATGGGCTACTGTTGTGTTCACAGGTATGTAGGCAGGTGATGTAGTGTCTGAATCTCTCGCTGTTTTCAGACATGCGCTGAAGATCCAGAGGGGCTGTACGTGAGAAAACAAATGTTTGAGTCTGTTGTGTTCCCGACATTTTCTGGAACTTTTCCTGCCAGCCATCCAGTATAATGTCTGGAAAATGTCAGAGCGAGCCCATGTGAGAATACCACTGGGAAAATGCAAGCAAGTGGGTATGGTGATGATGTTTCTAACAAGTGAGGGACAAAAAAAACTCAAAAAGTATATACAATCAATCTATCAGAATTTGAAAAAGGTGCGATACATATATATATATGTCAACTTGGAAAGAAAATCAGATTCGAGACCTTTTGATAAGGGCTTGTGTCAATTTGCTGCAAACGCTAATTTCCCTGCAGAATTCAAACATCATGTCCTGCCTCCTGCTGCTCTTCCCAGACGTCACTGCTCGCCTGAATGTTCTGGACATTTTGTTGTTGTGAACTTGTCTGACGTGGACAGTCCCCTCCTGCATTCTTCAAATGTGAAAGAGAAACTGTAGAGTTTCTGTCTAAAAACGCTTTTAATGTAAAAAGTAACCTTGCATTGTGCAGACAATCCTTCTTTCCGCAGTTCAGTTTTCCATTGAAAACCTCCCTTCAATGTCTTTTATTAAACAAAGACATCATCAGATTTGTTTGATTGCTTTATAAATGCTTTTGTAGAAAATTAGTTATTGGAGCGCACCTTTCAATGAAGTAATTAGCTCAATTTGAATGGAAGCCATCACATGTTAATGCTCTCTGAGGCCCTATATTTTCACTGTAATTGATGGTGCCCAGCCAAAATATGATTGCCTGACATTTTAAACGTTACAAGGACTGATTCAGTGGTTTTAGAAATGTATCCAAAGCCTTGACCTGTTGCTTTGTCATTACTGCTATGCTTCAAATTTTCATGAACGTGGTATTGAGAGACCTTGTATTTAGTATTCAGAGATCTCTCTCGTGCTTAAACAGTCTCTCACATGTGCGCACACACATCGTGAAGCATCGGCAAGTTGAAAAGTGGTTGCATTGCTAGCATACACTCCAGTGTGCACTCGCATACTCCTACGTCAAAGAATACAGGTTAGTCATATGTAACACACATACACACACGAACACACAGTATACATGTGTGTGTGTGTGTTGCACCCTCGGGGAAGCAGGTTGCTTGTCTGGTGGCCAAGTGGTAGCGTCGAGGCATCATCGGTCACTTCGAGTCTGCCAGTGACTCACCAAGGGCACAATGGAATTAGTGAGATTCTCTGCAATGTGACAGCTTGCTCTGGCTAAATGGTGTAATAATCTACCCCCTCCTCTCACAAACCTCCAGTAGCACACACACACACACACACACACACACACACACACACACACACACACACACACACACTTGTTCACTCCCCTCCCTTTCACCCACCCCGTACCAACTGGCACAGATAACATTGTCTTAAGCTATAAAAAAGATTTTTTTCCCTCTCTCCATTGCGGTAATTATTGAATTAATGCAGATGGAGAGAGACATCTGCATGTTAAAGTGTTGGCCTCTCTCTTATGCACAGCAGATGTTCCCCTGTCATTTACTCAAATTACGCTGCTTAGATACATGGAGGGAAAACGAGAGAGAGAGAGCGAGAGAGAAAGTTACTCGCCAAGGCGACATTGTCTTACAGGGATCTGAGTGTCAGCTACCAAATTCAGCATCTGTCCTTCAAGCAAACCCCTACCTTTCTCCCTGGAGATGTCCCTCAGTCAGTTATACTGTTTTACTTCCTCAATCCTGATTATCAAATTGTGTTATTATAAAAGCACTTCTATCGTTTCATATGAGGAGACAATCCAGACTACAATTCACATTTAAAAGCATAATAGAACTAGAATTACTGCCTTGCAGTTGTATGCTGGCCAGTGCACTCATTCTGACCTTTACCTTTGACTATTGATTAATTGACTGATTTAATCTTTGAGTCCAAATGACTTTTGGCTAAAGGCAGACCTGATATATCAAGTTAAAGAGGCCAAAAAGGTTTCATGAGGCCACTGTGACCATGTCCTTTGACCACCCACATCTAATCAGTTAATCCGCGGGTCTAAATTAACATATTTGCTAAATTTGAAAAAATTCTCTTGAGGCATTTTATAAATTCTTGTTCACACCTTGACCCTTGACTACCAAAACCTAATGAGTTCATCAGTGAATCCAAGTGAATGTTTATAGCAAATTGAAATAATTCCCTGAAGGTGTTCCTGGGATACTTGAACACCAAAATCTCAACAGTTCATCTTTGAGTCCAACTGAACATTTTTACCAAATTTGAAGAAATTCTCTCAAAGCGTTCTTAAGATATTGTGTTCATGACAATGAGACAGACGGAACCTGCACCCGCGAACCTAATGCCCCTGGGGCCACTGGTGGACACTGGCATTAAAATAAGACCAGTAGGTAGGAATAATAGATAAATGCTGTTTCAATACAACAATAAGATGCCCTGAATGTGCACATTCAAATTAATCGATTTTTAAATTTAGAATAAAAAGTGGATGAACTGTTGATCTTTGCACCGCTTAATGCCGCTTCACTGTGTTTGCTTTGAATTAGTAATTAAGATGATACAAGATTATTCATGAGGATAAATCCCTTAAAATGAAACATCTCGTATTCAACGAGGGTCCTTAAAGATGAATTCCCCATAAATATCAAACGAGATATACTAAGTGACTTACTTCCTGCTTTGGCTTATTCTTATATTACAAAGCACTGGATGGGTCAAATGTCAGCTGTAATCAAATATAGGATTTTTTCCAACAAACAACATTTTAAGTATCCAAATAATTGTACTGTATGATCTCAAAAAGTCATCTTAATGTAAATATGAACAAGCCGACCTCCAATTGATAGCTTAACCCAGTAGCTGACCTTGTGACCCTTAATGCTCGTGGAGATGTTGCAGAAAAGATAAGACAATGAAGGACAACATCCCATTAAAGATTAAGGGTCGATTATTTGAAGCTAGTGCGAGACATAAAAAAAGTGTTTATGACTTCGTGTGTGTGTGTGTGTGTGTGTGTGTGTGTGTGTGTGTGTGTGTGTGTTAACCAGGGGACCCTCTCCTTGGGATTATACTCCAGGTTGGTTCGGCCTCATCTCTCCGGATTACGTTGATAAAAACATTCTTGTATTATATTTTCTGTGCTTATTGTATTAATACTCTCAGGCAGTTCCCAGAAAAAGCTTCGTCCCACGCCTGCTTTGAGGTAATCTTCTTCCACTTGAGCTTTTAAAATGTTTTTTGGGGGGGGTTGGCTGTCTTTGTAATACCTATTCTCTCCCACACTTGAGGTTATATTTGCCCTCTTGTCCTTGAGTTCCTCTATGATATAATTTTACACAGTAAATTCTACATCTTTATTAAATATGTGGATCTAGATATAGCGCCTGAGCTTGTTCAGCACCAAAGGTTTTGAAGATTCAATGCTGTCTATGGATTTATTCCACTGCAAGAAGACAATGACATTGTTTTAGATCCAAACGTGTCTTGTGACTGTGTAGTGATATGAGTAAGGTGTGCCTGGACTTTTACAACAGTATTCTCACATGCTCACATACGATTCTTCTTCTTCCTGAAATGACATACGTAATAACACTCAACCAAAGGGTTTGGTCTTGTATATATTATCTGGTGTAACAATTGTATTCATTAGTGAAAAACCTGCAGACCAATTTTTCAATTATATGAATCATTTTTCCCCTACAATGTTAGGACTTAGTGACAAACACACATAACAGTCACAAGGTGACAGGTGAAATGTTTATTTCAGTCTATATTGCTAATTATCAGGATAAATGTCACATAATTTCTGCTAGGTTTAAAGACTAATCTTCTCTAAGAACAAAGAAGAATAAATACTTGATAAACAACACATTTTGTTGAAACTTGTGACAGCTTATCAACATCTCGCAAACATTGCAGCATTTTGGAAAATTGTAACTGAGTAATAATTTCATAATGATATTGCAGGATACAAAGTAGAAACTTAAGTGGTAGACGTGGTAACCACAAAGAACATCATTGATTACCGAAAAAAACACAGCATTAATGAACCAATTTGACCAAAAATGCAAAAGAAAAGTTCATACCACCTCAAAGGTCAGTGTTTATTTGGACCAATCTTCTCTCAGTAGTCATATTACATATCTTCCTGTGATGCATGAAAATAATGGTGTGAAGGTTGAAAGAGTCAATGTATTAGTGCGCTGCTATTTTGATAATAGATAAATCATATAAGCTAATTACAAGCACTGGTGTGAAATGTTTGCTTGTCTATGATTCTCAGATGTGGGGATTTACTTACTTTTTCTCTTTTAAATCATTGTAAATAAACCGCCTGTTTTGGATTTTGACAAAAATACATTTTGAAGATGTCATTGTGGGCCTTGGGTTATTTTTCACTATTTTCTAAAAATGTATTTGATAAAACAACAACAACACCGCCAGACTAATCGATAGTGAATGTAATCTTAGTAGCAGTCCTGGAGGGTTTGTTTTGCAGGTCAGTCTTGGTCATATTTGTCTTTTTTGATAAAGAGGTGATTGTGCTCCCTCTCACACGTCCTGATGCATCTTGTACTCCTTTTTCCAAAGACGCACTCTATGAATCAGCCCATCCACTCACACATTTACTCACACACACCTCCCCTGCCTCTCGACAAAACCAGACAATCCAATGGTATCTGTGCAACATCCCTCTGTTCTCAAACCAAAAGCCTTAAAGCCAACAGATGCTTTTACGTTATCATTGCCAGTTATCACTCTTAGCTCCCTCTGATAAGACTTTACTTTCTGACCCAGATGTTAAGGAGTTCAATTTATCAGATGCACCAGAAGAGCGGACTGGGAGGCGGAGGGATGAGTGAGCATTGAAAATACCCGCAGGCTTGAGAGATGAGATGTAATATGCCTTTTTTTTGGCCTGGTGTTGTTTCTGAAGCGGCGTTAGTGCAGTAAGGAGCTCAGCGTCTAAAGAGGCTTTGGTATAGGGGGAAAGATGGGCCATATTACAGTGAGGCCAGAAGCCTGCTTGATTAATGGGCCGGGATAATCACCTCATCAAATCACTCTCACTTATTAAATCTTGTTTAATATCGTAATGAGGGCCCTCCTGAGCCGCTTTGGTAAATTCCGCCTCTCTCTCGAGCTCTCAATGGCTCTCGCTTTCCCTCTTATGCCTTTTCCGCTTTAACAGTAAAGACCGATGATGCCAAGTCTGTCCTCGTCTGTCTCCCTTCATCTTGCTGTCTCCTCTGTCCTCTTTCAATTTACTGTCTCTTACCTTTGCCCCATACCTTAACTTTCAGCAAGAAAGTGAGGGATGTGTTTCTTCTCTATCCTAAACAATCATGGAATTTATGTCTACACAGAGACTCAAGAGTATACATAATTTCTGGGGGTGGAATTGCTATATCCACAGCCTCAGTCTATTCATTTACTCTCTCTTATTTATGATGGATGATGTGCTAGATTGCATCATCATAAATCACTATGCATGTGGGTCATGACCTGCTGGAGGAGTGATACCACTTCCCAAGGCTTTGGTACACTGGAGTTTATGGAAACACTTCAGGTGAGGTAATATCTCTCCTGTCTCCTTCGGCATGATTTGTGATCTCTATCTGTAGCACCACAGCATATCCAGTGTTACTTTGGTGTGTGTGTGTGTCTGTGTGTGTGTG